ACTAGAAAAATGCTTGTTTTTTTGCCCGTTTATGGCCCCTAATTCCTAAAATTTTGAGGGAATTACCCCCAAAATCAACCGCAGCCTTCACTTTGTGGTATGGTACCTTGCAGTACAATTTCAGAGACATCCATACACTTGAACACAAATTATTGTCTGGAAACTAGTAAAATGCTTATTTTTGGCCCCTTCTTCCTAAGCTTTTTGGTCAATTACCCCCAAACTCTATTCCAGCTTTCCCTTTGTGATATGGAACCTTGTAGTACAATTTCATAAAGATCCATACTCTTACACACAAGTTATTGTCATGAAACTAGAAAAATGCTTGTTTTTTGCCCCTTTTTGGCCCCTAATTCCTAAAATTTGGAGGCAATTACCCCCAAAATCAATCCCAGATTCCCTTTGTGATATGGAACCTTGTGGTAGAATGTCAGAGAGATCCATACACTAACACACAAGTTATTGTCATGAAACTAGAAAAATGCTTGTTTTTTGCCCCTTTTTGGCCCCTAATTCCTAAAATTTGGAGGCAATTACCCCCAAAATCAATCCCTGCATTCCCTTTGTGATATGGAACCTTGTGGTACAATGTCAGAGAGATCCATACACTTACACACAAGTTATGTCTGGAAGTTACAAAAATGCTTATTTTTGGCCCCTTTTTGGCCCCTAATTCCTTAACTGTTGGTACCATAACCCCCAAAATCAATCCCCACCTTCCTTTTGTGGTATTGAACCTTATGGTAAAATTTCATAGAGATCCATTCTCTTAAACTAAAGTTAGAGAGTGAAAACCAATGTGTCTTCGGACACAGACGCCAATGTCATACCAACATACGATCGCAAAATTTTTTTGCGGTCGTATAAAAAATAAGTTTTTGGACAAAATTCATATTTTTTCCTTATAAAACCTTCTACAGTCCCTCTTTGCATTATTGTTGTATGCTTCAGTGAAAGTAGTATGGCCCAATAATAACTATAGTCAAGCTTATAAGGAAAATTAGTAACATTCAGCATGGGACTATTACCCTTGGGACAAATTAACATACCAATATTGGTATAATATAAGTTAGCAGATGCTAATTTTAAAGTATCCCTAAAAAAAAACACAGTCTGTCACTATCTAAGAACGTTGTTTGTACTAATGTAAGTTATCTGTTGGCATTAGCTTGTACTAGGATGGATGTTCAGATCATATCTTCTAGAACATTGTCTTTTGAATTTGAAAACCAAAGACATGTAGTATTAAAGTATGGCCTATCACTTTGCACAGAAACAATAAACTGTTATAACTTCATTGTTCCATCCATTATTTTCAGTTCAATTTTTCCCAAACCTTCCAAGATTTTATCTGAATGATGTCAAAAGGCATTTGTAAACTCCTCAATACATAATTGTTAAGAAGCATTTCATGTATAAATATTAATTTTCTACCTTATCAGCTTTTAATTTTTGAATCTTTTAAAAAAAAAAAATCTTTAATTTAATGCTTGGTGGAGTATAATTTGTCCAATTTTTTAGACGCTGCTGCATCATTCTCATAGACAGATGTAAACAAAATAAATCTTCGTCAATGTTTCAAGAACTGCTAGGTTAAAATGCTCAATGACTTCCAATACATTTGTAAGAGTTGTCTCTCATACCCCAGGCCTACCCCCTTGAATTAAAAAGTGCCATGAACTGCCTTTGCAACATTCCTACTATGTGTATATAACTTAAACTTACAAATATTATAAATTCAGAAATTTTTGAGATGTATTTATTAGTGCCAAATTTGGGACAGAATAGGTTTGCAAGCTTGCCTTTAAATTTTTATAGCATTATTTATATCCAGCATTTACTGTTTTTCAATCACAATAATAAAGGAACCAAAAATATCTGAATTTTCAGTAGGCCAAATAAATTCTTAAATCAGGTAAGATAAAATGCTTCGCTGGGGCGCAGCTTGATATGACCGCAGAGGTCGAACCCTGAACAGTTGGGGCAAGTATGGACACAACATTCAAGCTTGATACAGCACTGAATTTGGATTGTAATTAAATATTTGACACAGCATAGGTTTCTGACACAGAATGAAAGTGGTCTAAGAACTTAAAAATTTTTAATTTACCTATTCAAACCATATCATTATTATTTGCTTTTATATATAAATCAGAAATAACCAATTTAAAATGGAAAATTCTAAAGAAAAAAAAGGAAAAAAAAATCCCTCCCCAAATTTTTTGAACCCCCTTATGATTCACCACCCCCAAACTCAATCCCAGCCTTCCCTTTGTGGTATGGTACCTTGCAGTACAATTTCAGAGAGATCCATACACTTGAACACAAGTTTTTGTCTGGAAACTAGAAAAATGCTTGTTTTTTGGCCCCAAATTCCTAAACGTTTAGGGCAATTACCCCCAAACTCAAACCCAGCTTTCCCTTTGTGATATGGAACCTTGCAGTGCAATTTCATAAAGATCCATACACTTACACACAAGTTATTGTCCTGAAACTAGAAAAATGCTTGTTTTTTTGCCCGTTTATGGCCCCTAATTCCTAAAATTTTGAGGGAATTACCCCCAAAATCAACCGCAGCCTTCACTTTGTGGTATGGTACCTTGCAGTACAATTTCAGAGACATCCATACACTTGAACACAAATTATTGTCTGGAAACTAGTAAAATGCTTATTTTTGGCCCCTTCTTCCTAAGCTTTTTGGTCAATTACCCCCAAACTCTATTCCAGCTTTCCCTTTGTGATATGGAACCTTGTAGTACAATTTCATAAAGATCCATACTCTTACACACAAGTTATTGTCATGAAACTAGAAAAATGCTTGTTTTTTGCCCCTTTTTGGCCCCTAATTCCTAAAATTTGGAGGCAATTACCCCCAAAATCAATCCCAGATTCCCTTTGTGATATGGAACCTTGTGGTAGAATGTCAGAGAGATCCATACACTAACACACAAGTTATTGTCATGAAACTAGAAAAATGCTTGTTTTTTGCCCCTTTTTGGCCCCTAATTCCTAAAATTTGGAGGCAATTACCCCCAAAATCAATCCCTGCATTCCCTTTGTGATATGGAACCTTGTGGTACAATGTCAGAGAGATCCATACACTTACACACAAGTTATGTCTGGAAGTTACAAAAATGCTTATTTTTGGCCCCTTTTTGGCCCCTAATTCCTTAACTGTTGGTATCATAACCCCCAAAATCAATCCCCACCTTCCTTTTGTGGTATTGAACCTTATGGTAAAATTTCATTGAGATCCATTCACTTAAACTAAAGTTAGAGTGCGAAAACTAATGTGTCTTCGGACGACGACGACGACGCCAACGTCATACCAATATACGACCACAAAAATCTTTTTGCGGTCGTATAAAAAATAATGGTAACTTTAAATTCAGATAAAAGAAGAGAGTTCCAATGTCTGCCGCGTTGCACATATTTTATCTATCCAAGGTATAAGGGCAATAAATTGAATAACTAAAAAAAACACTTTTTTTTTTGTTCTTTAAAATTGTTCATAAATATCATAGAGAAATGAATGCTTCAGAGCATATTAAATGTGATTTCCGATATAATTAATATTTCCAAGGGCATAACTTGTTTAAAATATTTTATCAGCACTTCTTTTCGAAAGTGTTAAAGACATTGCTGATATAAACCTATGATACAAGTTTCATAAATTTCTGGCAAGAATTGTACACATGAGAGCGCAAATGATGTAATTTTTCATATAATCAATATTTCCAAGGTGCATAACTCATTAAAAAGTTAACACAGATTTTCGAACTCATCCAAGAAATTGATGATATAAACCTATAATATAAATTTCATAAAATTCTGGCAAATTGTACACGAGAGCACTCACAAGGCAATTTTCCATATGATTAATATTTTCAAGGGGCATAACTCTTTTAAAAATCTGCCAAGAATTGTACATATGAGAGCGCCAACAAGACTGGACGGACAGAAGGACAGACGGATGAACGACCAGACTATGTCCCACCGCAACGCGTTGCTCGGGAGACAAAAATAACAGAATGCATAAATGTCAAGCATCTGGATTGCTGCATAAAATCAAAAAGTCAGCTAGAGATGAATATGAGGGATGTATAAATACCCTGCCACGTCCGGTCTGTTTTTTTGTTTGATTGTTCTGCTTTGCATTGTTCTGATGAGTTAAGCTTTTTTCAACTGATTTTTATAGTTTGTTCTTATGTTGTCCTGTTTCACCACTGTCCCAGGTTAGGGGAAGGGTTGAGAGCTCACAAACATGTTTAACCCTGCCACATTCTTTATGTACCTGTCCCAAGTCAGGAGCCTGTAGTTCAGTGGTTGCCGTTGGTCATATTTGTTTTTCATAAATTGTTTAGTTATAAATTTGGCCAATAGTTTTCTCAATTGAATTATTTCATATTTTTTATGTCGTGGCCTTTTAGAGCTGACTATACGGTAGTTTGAACTTTGGTGGATCATTGGCAATCATACCTCATCTCCTTATTTTTATATATATGTTGTTTCTTACAAATGAAAATTTCTTTGTTATATATGTTGATTTCTAAATCTACATGACAAGTGGACAAAGTTGTGGTTCTCCTTAAACTGATCTAATCACAAACTAATACATGAAAAGTAAGCAAAAGTTTCAATGTCAATAGACCAAATAATCTCCATGGAAATAAGAGATGCAAATGCTATACAACTGCATACCAAATACTATTGACCTACCACTAACAGTTCCCTTTAAAGTGACCCAATCACAAACAAATACATGTAAACCCATGACAGAGGGGGTGGGAATAAATATCTCAATGGAAATGAGATGTGCTAATGCTAATACAACTGTATACAAAATATCATTGACCTACCACTAGTGGTTCCTCTTAAACTTACCTAATCACAAACTAATACATTGTTGACGCTGCCAGTGACACCACTGCCTGAACCAGCATGCCTAAGTCTCACATTTTTTACAAATGAATATTTGTTTCAATACTGATAATACAAACCTTTAACTGCTTTCATGCTTCAGATTTTGTTCCTCTTGTTCTCTCTGTTGAAGTAAAGCTTTAGTCATTGTTTTCTGCCTATTTAATTCCATTAAGTTCTGAGCTTTTTTATCTTGCCTTTCCATGTCTCTCAATACACCTTCTCGCATTACCTATTCAAATATCAATAAACGTTCATTTTAGATTTCTACAAAAAAAATCTTTAGTATATACCAGAAGTTTAATTTGGTTCTTAGTGTTTTGTGCAGTTTGTTGCAGTCTCCAATATTCAGTGGTAATTAATTATATTTTGATTGTTTGTTTGATTGTTGATGTTTAACACCACTAACAGCACTACCGGCTATATCATACATGTATATATATAAAATTGCGGTTTTCTTTTTATCCAACGCAATCATAGGTTTGAACGTTGTTTTCAATTTAGACTGGTTTAAATTTTTTTTTGTTTGGGCTTGTATTAGATTTGCCTTCGGGTTTATATGATCCGTTCATCCTATTACGACTCTTCAAAATACAAAAGTCTATCCTAAATTGAGGTAAATTATATGGCCTTCCAAATACCGTTTCAATTCCTAACATCACTGAAGAGACATTAATTGTCGAAATCTGGATATGGTGTACTAATTTTTGCACCTTTTTGTTTGCGGTATACCATCTTTTCCGCAAGTTTATTGTTTTCTGTTTGGTATTAAATTAATAGTTAAGATCCATTTTGTTACATCTGGTGATCCGTTTACTTGGCAATCGCCAATGGCAGTCAGCAGAGTTTAAGAACATCCGTTGTTCGACCTGCTGGTCAACTGATGTATATATATATATAACAAATAGCTTTCTTCGGTGTCAATATATATATATATATATATATTGAAATATTTGTCTTTATGAATTGAAGATGAGTAGATGATCATTCCTGTATACTTAAAAATACTTCATATATTGTAATCAGTCGGACTTGTTTAATACCTACAAGAAGGTAACACCTCCTGAAACAAAAGCTGATTTTTTCAGCTATAGTTAGAGGAGGGGATAAGGCGTCTGAGCAAAGCTAGGCGGTGTTACAGTAGAAATGAGAAGTCAAAAGTACAGGTTCCAGCCCTGGTCGGGGAGGAAGTAAAGAATCAGATCTACTCTTACATTGTTAGGTTGATTTTCTAGGCACTTTATATATATATATTTTGTTAAAATATACTTTATCACTTTTTTGGTCTTTTGGAAAATGTTGTTTGTGCTGTATTTAGACCCTCCTACCAAGAAATTTGTTTTGCATGCACACGTATAAAAATTGCAGTTTGCCCAACAATGTTAGATCTGTAAATTTGCCTTCGCAAATTTTTTGTTCTTCCCTCGCTGGGATTTGACTCATGCTACTGAGATATCGTGGCACCAAATCGCCTAGCACTATGCCCGGCGCGCTAGACCACTCGACCACCTAGGCTCTACATATAATAAAGCTTTCGGTGGCCGGGTGTTATCTTTCCTCGTCAGTTTTAATCTAGCGTCGTAACACAGTACATGATATATAAGGCATGAAGAGGGAATTGTTACAGATCAGCTGAATTATCTATTGTAAAGGATCCTACAAATAAATGTAAGATGCAGTCACAGAAATAATTATATTATAAGTACGTCTGAACCAGTGACGACTCTACAACAGATTTTATCCATCGGATCACCAGCAGTAAATTTCCCACGCAAATTTTTTGTTCTTCCCTCACCGGGATTCGAACTCATGCTACTGAGATATCGTGGCACCAAATCGCCTTGCACTATGCCAGACGCGCTACACCACTCGACCACCTAGGCTCTAAAAAGAAATTGTGGGGGGCAATTTAGTGTTACGACGCTTGATTAAAACTGACGAGGAAAGGAAACACCCGACCACCGAAAGCTGGAAATGAAAAAAAAAATGGCCTCCAACAATTTTTTTTAACCCCCTCCCCCCCTTTTCCAAAAGAAAATAAATGTGGATAGTGTCCACATGTGGACACATATGATGCCCCCGCTTGCATATCATATAGTGTTATATCGGGACATTACTGAAGAATGGTAAAAGTGACGCTACCCAAATTTGAACTTGATCGGAGTTTTGTGGTAATAAGCATTGTGTATAAGTTTTATAACATTTGGTTGAGACAAACTAAAGTTAGAGAACGGAAACGAAAAATTCAACAATTTTTATGTTTATAAAGGGACATAACTCAAGAATGGTAAAAGTGTCGCCACCAAATTTCGTACTTAATCTGTATTATGTAGTAATAAGCATTGTGTATAAGTTTCATAACATTTGGTTGAGGCAAACTAAAGTTAGAAAAACAGAAACAAAACATTTGTACTTGATCTTAGTTTTGTGGTAATAAATATTGTGTACAGGTTTCATAATGTTTGGTTGGGGCAAACTTAAGTTACAGAATGGAAACTGAAAATTTTGCAATCTTTCAATTTATAAAGGGGCATAACTCAATAATGGTTAAAGTGACACTACCCAAATTCAACTTGATCTGTGTTTTATCAGTGGAAGTCAAAATTAAACATTGCATTGTTTAAAGCATTGATTGTAGTTGATTCAATTATAATCATGGACAAAGGAAGATAACTCCAATTTTAAAAATTACCCAGTACTTGATATTTAGAAGAAAATAAATTTCCATTTATAAAGGGGCATAACTCTAGAACGGTTAAAGTGACGCCACCAAAATTCAAACTTGATCTGTGTTTTGTGATAATAAGCATTGTGTATAAGTTTCATAACATTTGGTTGAGGCAAACTTAAGTTAGAGAACGGAAACTAAAAATTTTGCAATTTTTCCATTTATAAAGGGGCATAACTCAAGAACGATTAAAGTGACGCCACCAAAATTCAAACTTGATCTGTGTTTTGTGGTAATAAGCATTGTGTATAAGTTTCATAACATTTGGTAGAGGCAAACTTAAGTTACAGAACAGAAACTAAAAATTTGGCAATTTTTCCATTTATAAAGGGGCATAACTCTAGAACGGTTAACGTGACAGCACCAAAATTCAAACTTGATCTGTGTTTTGTGGTAATAAGCATTGTGTATAAGTTTCATAACATTTGGTTGAGGCAAACTCAAGTTAGAGAACGGAAACCAATTTTGGGACGTACGTACGTACAGACGGACACGGGTAAAACTTAATGCCCCCACCGCTATGGCAGGGGCATACAAATTTTTTCCCTCAAAATATGGTCATAAGCTCAATTCAAATTTCCAATGGAGTTTGCAACCATAATTACCAATTTAAATACATCATAAAAGTCTTAAATAGATAATTTAAAAGCAGTGTAAGGGAGGTAATCCAACATTGTACAATTTTGTTTTTGGATTCCCTCCCTTACACTGCTTTTAATTTTCAAATTGTCCATTAACCAGGAAACCCTTGTTTTTTCCCCCTAATTCCTAAACGGTTTGAGCCATAACCCCCCAAAGCCAATCCTAATCATCCCTTTGTGGTATGGAAACTTGTGGTATAATTTCAGAGAGATCCATACACTTAAACACAAGTTATTGTCTGGAATTTACAAAAATGCTTATTTTTGGCCCCTAATTCATTAACTGTTGGTACCATAACCCCCAAAATCAATCCCAACCTTCCTTATGTGGTATTGAACCTTATGGTATAATTTCATAGAGATCCATTCACTTAAACTAAAGTTATTGTGCGAAAACTAATGTGGCTTCGGAGGACGACTATGATGCCAACGTCATACCAATATACGACCGCAAATATTTTTTGCGGTCGTATAAAAATGAAATAAATTTTTGTTTTTTTTTGTACTTGTATTAGATACTATAGATAGAATAGTCTCCTGTTAGTCCGCTTCCATGTTGAGCAAATGGTAATGTGAATATTTCTATTTGGATAACAGTAAATTTCTCTTCAAGGTAAGCGTTTAAAATATGTTGATTTTTTATGAAAAATTAGAGACAACTATTTGGATTTAAACAACTTAACCTTCAAGTGGTTGTAAATTACAGGATAAAAAAAATATATGTACATTATCGGAAATATAAAATTAATTTGTACTTGCTTTTCATCCTGTTTCTAAAGCTCATAAAAATAAATTTTATATTTTCCGACAATGTACATATATTGTATATATATATATATATATTTAATTGTCACCCATTCTAGGAGTTATCCCTCATGTGATCCCAATCAGTAATGTATAGCTCTAATTCTATACCTTACTCAAAAGTCAATAAGTAATTACCATTGCTGTTTAAAACAATGGCTTAAAACTATGCTATTTGTAATGGAATTTAGTGAAAAACTATTACACCAAGGTTTTCAATATCACAAACTTGTCAAAACATTTACTAAATGAAATCATCGGTACAAGGACATCATTTGTAAATATAAATCAAAGTGCAGACATCTTATACGTTCAGGTATTTCACATCCCATCTTTTATGGTAATATTCTATACAAAGTACAAAAATGTCGTCATTCACCTCAAAAGCTAACCAAACCTTTTAACAGACTTATTCAGAAGGGATATAGTTACGATACTGTTCTCAGGTCATTAAAGATGGCATTTTTTGGAATCGATATTGATTCATTCATAGGGTCTTTGCATTGGAAATAAACACATGTATTCTAAAACCAGTTGTTGGCATGATACAGGTTATGTTCTTTTCATATATTTTATGATGGTATGATACTAAAACCCTAACCGGAGGGATTGTGCTTGATTTTTCATATGTTGAAGACAATCTTTCAATCAGTTTAATTGAGGTCTGGAGCTAGCATGTCAGTAACTGCTAGTAGTCCTTATATATATTGATTCATTCATAGGGTCTTCACATTGGAAATAAACACATGTATTCTAAAACCAGTTGTTGGCATGATACAGGTTATGTTCTTTTCATATATTTTATGATGGTATGATACTAAAACCCTAACCGGAGGGATTGTGCTTGATTTTTCATATGTTGAAGACAATCTTTCAATCAGTTTAATTGAGGTCTGGAGCTAGCATGTCAGTAACTGCTAGTAGTCCTTTGTTAATTTATGTTGATTATTGTCATTTTGCTTAGTTTCTTCTGCTACCTTTTCTAACATCGGACTCAGACTTCTTTTAAACTGAATATTACTGTGCATATTGCTGTGTGTTTGTTTATTCCACATTGACTAGAGGTATAGGGGTAGAGTTGAGATCTCACAAATCATGTTTAACCCCGCCGTATTTTAGCGCCTGTCCCAAGTCAGGAACCTCTGGCCTTTGTTAGTCTTGTATGTTTTTTTAATTTTGTTCATTTATATGTTTCAGAGTTTAGTGTGACACTGAACTAGTAAAAATTATTGTTGAGGGGCCAGCTGAAGCCTGCCTCTGGGTGTGGGATTTTCTTGCTGTGTTGAAGATCCATTGGTGGCCTTGGGCTGTTTTCTGCTCTTTGGTCGGGTTGTTGTCTCTTTGACCCATTCCCTGTTTCCATTCTCAATTTTATTTAGAGAGAGATATAATCAACTTGAACTGTTGTGATGGTCTAACTGTTTTTCAGGTAGCATTTGTTCATAATACCTGTGTGGTCTTAATGGTTTTTTGTTTTATTATTTCGGGTTTATTATGTAATTATATATTCAAGACGTAACATTTTTTTAAATTAGCTGAAGTCAAATGTTTCAGTAACAGCCTTTTTCAAGGAATGTCACCATAAAAATTACATCTTCACTTTTGTTATTATTTATTAGACTGTTAAAAAAGGAACACAAGTGATGCAAGTTGTGAATTTTAATGTTCATGTTCATTGGAGTTGAGCACAATGAATTAATTTGTAATAATAATAATAATAATAATTCTTTATTTTAAGAGAGTAAACAAAGTTTGTTAAAATTGAAGTTTTGCATGAACCATTTTCATTCCAATTTGTACTGTATTATATAAACATGATACCATCATTTACATTATGTACAAATTCTTGATTACCATTTGGTCATTTTTCTGTTTATAATGCACAAAAGAAATTATTCCTACAGTTGCAGCTATAGATGTTGCTAATGTTACTTTTGCAGCTGTAGACATGGCCTAGCTTCCTTCACCTGTTACACAACCACATTCTACAGCTTTTTTCAAAGGCACTTTTCAAAGAGGAAGTAAACAAAGGGGAACAATTATTTAGTAAAAATAATTTATCAATTAAGACAGGTAGAGTTACCTCCCATTGTGCAATATATTTTTGTCTTAGTTGTCTTTCTTTATCCACACATACTTATGTGAAGATTACAATACTATTCTCATCTAGGACTTAATCATAATATCTTTTGGTCCCAGTAAAAAATCATGGAGTGAAATAAAAGACAATGTTGTTTTTGTGTACTCAATTTAATGTTTTCTATTTGCTTTCATTCATGTTGAGTGTGAACAAAAATGTTTCATCTTTTATAAGATATATGACCCATCATATATCAAACCATGAAACTCAAAGTGGGAGGATATCATGTTTACTGGAAGTAGTACTAGCCCATATATATAAATGGTGAAAACAGAAAAACAGACAGTTGAAAATAGTAGATTGTACAGGTCTGCTGGAGTCTGGAGGCCTAAAATTGGGTTATTTGTGTTAATAATAACATATTGTTTATAATAAATTATAAGTGTTATGTAACCTCAATGTTACATATTATTTTTCCTTTTTGTAGCTTAGGTTGTGTGTGTGTGTGTGGGGGTTCTAATCATTTGATTACAACTTTTTTCAGAAGAGAAGGAAGTTTTACAAATAGCTGGTTTTCATTTAAAATTAGGAAAAATGATTATTCAACATTTATCATGCTTTATTTATTTTGCTAAATTGACAAAATGTTATATACTGTTATGTAAAGTTTTATATGCTTGCTTTTGTAAGGTATGCTAGAGAAAGAGATCAAGGCCATATGTCACATGTCAGACAGATATGTACCGTACTCCTTTCATACAATGCCATATACCAAATATGTTTAACTGCCATGAATAATAGCTAAGGCATGTTCTTGTTGATAAAGTTTCACAATGACAAACAACCTCCATACATAATTTGTTTATCCTAGGTGAAAGAGGGAACAAAATAAGGTTTTTGCAAATTGTAAATACCACTAACAGTGAAGTAAATAATATCTGTTGGCCTCTCATAACCTTTGTCAACCACCCTGTAGATCATGTTTTTCAAGAAAAACAAGAAACTGCAAGGAGACTTTATAAAGACCACATCTGTATTGATAAAAATAACTTTTAGTGATTTTATATTTCTATATACAAATTAATTGCTTATATATACAGAGAATTGGTGTGATCCAGTGACATATACAGCTAGTAGAGAAAAAGAGGATTTTATTTTCAAAGCAACATTTCAAACCAATTTTGCACCAAACTCCTTAAGCCTGCCCTCTTCATCACATGCTATAAAGAGGGAAATGATAATATTAAATGGTAATTTTGCTTATACCTGTACAATATAGTTTAATATTTTTCATTATTTCAATATACCAGAATGATTTCTTGTGCATCACATCCTTGAAGAGGAGGAAGACATTCAAAACATAAAAGAATTCAATTTCATAGTGTTTGCAGGGAGGTAATTTTTACCACTAGGTTATCCACTGCTAATAATTTTAACTTATGTATTTAATTTTATAATTTTTTTGATTTTTTTTTCTCATCTTTGTTTAATATTTAATTAAAACAAGAGTGCACATGCTGAAATGTCTCGCCTGCTTTACTGGCCATTGATTTTATGTTGATAGTCCTAAATATAAAGGTATCACATTAATTTAACATGATCAAAGAAAATGAGGTCAAGTTCAGATAAACCAAGCCAGAAATACATGTACACCTTAAAATCATTCCATACACCAAATATAGTTGACCTATTGCTTATAGTATCTAAGAAACAAACTTAACCAGAAAAACTTAACATTGACCAATGAACCATGAAAATGAGGTCAAGGTCAGATGATAACTGCTAGACAGACATATACACCTTACAATCATTCCATACACCAAATATAGTAGCCTTATATTGCTTATAGTATAAGATATGGACTAGACCACGAAAAATTAACCTTGTTCACTGATCCATGAAATGAGGTCGAGGTCAAGTGAAAACTGTCTGACAAGCACGAGGACCTTGCTAGCTATGCACATACCAAATGTAGTAATCTTATTACTCATAATAAGAGAGAAATTAAGAATACTAAAAATCTTAACTTTTTTTCAAGTAGTCACTGAACCATGAAAATGAGGTCAAGGACAATGGACATGTGACAGAGGGAAACTTCATATCATAAAGCATCTATATACAAAGTATGATGCATCCGGGTCTTCTAGCTTCTGAAATATTAAGCTTTTAAGAAGTTTGTTAACGCAGCCTTTGCAGCTGCCAGATCACTATCCCTTATAATGTCTCGCTTTTTGCGACAAAAGTCGCAGGATCGACAAAAATCATGTTTTGTTTATTCATAAATAAATGTACTGCTCTTATCAGGGCACCACGATAGGAATAATATATATGTTTATGAATAATATATATGTTTATGAATAATATATATGTACAAACAAGTCTAAATTGAAAACAACGTTCAAACCTATGATTGCGTTGGATAAAAACCGCAATTTTTATACGTGTGCATGCAAAACAAATTTCTTGATAGAGGGGTCTAAATACAGCACAAACAACGTTCTCAAAAAGACCAAAAAAGTGAAAAAGTATATTTTAACAAAATATATATATATAAAGTGCCTAGAAAATCAACCTAACAATGTAAGAGTAGATCTGATTCTTTACTTCCTCCCCGACCAGGGCTGGAACCTGTACTTTTGACTTCTCATTTCTACTGTAACACCGCCTAGCTTTGCTCAGACGCCTTATCCCCTCCTCTAACTATAGCTGAAAAAATCAGCTTTTGTTTCAGGAGGTGTTACCTTCTTGTAGGTATTAAACAAGTCCGACTGATTACAATATATGAAGTATTTTTAAGTATACAGGAATGATCATCTACTCATCTTCAATTCATAAAGACAAATATTTCAATATATATATATATATATTGACACCGAAGAAAGCTATTTGTTATATATATATATATACATCAGTTGTTCAAATGCGTTTTGTTAAAATATATTTTTTCACATTTTTTGGTCTTTTTGGAAATGTTGTTTGTGCTGTATTTAGACCCCTCTACTAAGAAATTTGAGGAAAATTATATGGCCTTCCAAATACTGTTTCAATCCCTAACATCACCAAAGAGACATTAATTGTCGAAATCCGGATATGGTGTACTAATTTTTGCACCTCATGTTTTGCGGTATACCATCTTTTACGCAAGTTTATTGTTTTCTGTTTGGTAATAAATTAAATAATAAGATCCATTTTGTTACATCTTGTGATCCGTTTATTTGGCAATCGCCAATGGCAGTCAGCAAGGTTTAAGAACATCAGTTGTTCGACCTGCTAGTCAAATGCGTTTTGTTAAAATATACTTTTTCACATTTTTTGGTCTTTTTGGAAATGTTGTTTGTGCTGTATTTAGACCCCTCTACCAAGAAATTTGTTTTGCATGCACACGTATAAAAATTGCTGTTTTTATCCAATGCAATCATAGGTTTGAACGTTGTTTTCAATTTAGACTTGTTTATATATATATAAATTGACACAGAAGAAAGCTATTTGCTATATATATATATATATATATTGACACTGAAGAAGGCTATTTGTTGAGCCAAAATATTTGTCTATATGAATTCACAAGTTTTACATGCAGTTAACTTTCAATTTTCTTCCAAGCCAACTATGGGAATTATTGATGAATATTCCAGATGCCATTTGTAGGAGCTGTCTTAACCTTGTTAAATATTCAATGTTCATTTATAAATAAGTCTACTGCTCCAATCAGGGCAACATGATTGGAATATTATATATTGACACTAAAGAAGGCTATTTGTTGAGCCAAAAATATTTGTCTATATGAATTCACAATTTTTATATGCAGTTAACTTTCAATTTTCTTTGAAGCCAACTATGAAAATTATTTATAAATATTCCAGATGCCATTTGTAGGAGCTGTCTTAACCTTGTTGTAAGGTGTGAACTCTTCAGTTCATGGTTGCAGACATTCCACCAATTGTGGTACAATTCTTTAAAAAATAACCAAGAATCCATGATAATGATCCCTCATGAACTTACCAGCGCCTACAAGACAATGTCTACCTTACAATCATTATATCCAGCAAATATAGTTAACCAATAGCTTATGGTGTCAGACAAACAGCCCTTATCATGACAACTTAAAGCTGATCATGAAATGAGGTCAAGGTCACATGAATCCTATCTGAATGACTTGTATACCATGAAATGATCATATATGCCAAAAACAGTTGTCCTTTAACTAATGATAACTGAAAAAGATATTTTTTTCATGAAGTTACTCACTGAACCATGAAAATGAGGTAAAGGAGAATGGACATAACCCCTACAGAAACTTCAGACTATACTGTAAGGCATCTGTATACAAAAATTCGTAAGGGGTTCCGTGGAACCATGTGTCTCGCCTACGATTGCTGCTGTCAGTGTAAATGTGTAATGTTAATTTATCAGTAAAATACAGAATTAAAAAAAAATTAAAACTTTTTGTTTAGAAGCTTTTTTCTTGGTCTTGAGGATTAGCTTCTGTCCAAGTTTCATAACAATCCATGAAGGTTTACAAATTTATCATGTCAAAAAAATGTAATCCCAGACTGTCTGTTAAAGTGAACTGTAAAACAAGAGTGCACACGCTGAAATGTCTCGCCTTCTTTACTAATCATTGATATTATGTTGATAGTCCTAAATATAAAGCTTTACTACAACTATCACATACACTTAACATGATCCAAGAAAATGAGGTCAAGGTCATATAAACCAAACAAGAAAAACATGTACACCTTACAATCATTCAATACACTAAATATAGTTGACCTATTGTTTATAGTTTCTAAGATACAGACTTAACCAAGTAAACTAAACATTGACCAATGAACCAAGAAAATGAGGTCAAGGTCAGATGAACAATGCCAGGCAGACATGTACTACAGCTTGCAATCCTTCCATACAACAAATATAGTTGACCTATTGCTTATAGTATTAGAAAAACAGACCAAAACACAAAAACTTAACACTGAGCAATGAACCGTGAAAATGAGGTCAAGGTCAAATAAAACCTGCAAGACTGACAGGTACATCATAAAATATTTCCATACACCAAATATAGATGACCTATTGCTTATAGTATCTGAGATATGGACTTGACCACCAAAACTTAACCTTGTTCATTGATCCATGAAATGAGGTCGAGGTCAAGTGAAAACTGTGTGACGGGCATGAGGACCTTGCAAGGTACGCACATACCAAATATAGTTGAACTATTGCATATAGTATTAGAAAAAAAGACCAAAACTCAAAAACTTAACTTTGACCACTGAACCGTGAAAATGAGGTCAAGGTCAGATGACACCTGCCCGCTAGACATGTACACCTTACAATCATTCCATACACCAAATATAGTAGACCTATGGCATACTGTAATAAGAAAAATAGACTAAAACACAAAAACTTAACTATAACCACTGAACCATGAAAATGAGGTCAAGGTCAGATGACACCTGCCAGTTGGACATGTACACCTTACAGTCCTTCCATACACCGAATATACTAGACCTATTGCTTATAGTATCTGAGATATGGACTTGACCACCAAAACTTAACCTTGTTCACTGATCCATGAAATGAGGTCGAGGTCAAGTGAAAACTGTGTGACGGGCATGAGGACCTTGCAAGGTACGCACATACCAAATATAGTTGAACTATTGCATATAGTATTAGAAAAAAAGACCAAAACTCAAAAACTTAACTTTGACCACTGAACCATGAAAATGAGGTCAAGGTCAGATGACACCTGCCCGCTAGACATGTACACCTTACAATCATTCCATACACCAAATATAATAGACCTATGGCATACAGTATAAGAAAAACAGACTAAAACACAAAAACTTAACTATAACCACTGAACCATGAAAATGAGGTCAAGGTCAGATGACACCTGCCAGTTGGACATGTACACCTTACAGTCCTTCCATACACCGAATATACTAGACCTATTGCTTATAGTATCTGAGATATGGACTTGACCACCAAAGCTTAACCTTGTTCACTGATCCATGAAATGAGGTCGAGGTCAAGTGAAAACTGTCTGACGGGCATGAGGACCTTGCAAGGTACGCACATACCAAATATAGTTATCCTATTACTTATAATAAGAGAGAATCTAACATTACAAAAAATCTTAACTTTTTTTTCAAGTAGTCACTGAACCATGAAAATGAGGTCAAGGACATTGGACATGTGACTGACGGAAACTTCGTAACATGAGGCATCCATATACAAAGTATGACGCATCCAGACCTTCCACCTTCTAAAATATAAAGCTTTTAAGAAGTTAGCTAATGCCGCCGCCGCCGAATCACTATCCCTATGTTGAGCTTTCTGCGACAAAAGTCGCAGGCTCGACAAAAAATTAGTCCATCTATCAAAAAAATACTGTAAATGAAATATATTTTCAAGTTTGCTTCAGACATTATCTCTTAATCATGAAAAAGCTTCTGCAAAAGTTTCATAAAATTCTATGAGGGTTTGACAAAGGAATGGATGTGTAACAAACTTTAAACTCTGGATACTGTATTTTGGTCATAAACAAGCTTCTGTCCAAATTTCCTAAAATTCCATGAAGGTTTGACAAAGATATTGATGACTGAAAAACTTTAAACCTCAGACTGAATCTGAATATCAACTGTAAAAAAATTAAGGTCATAATCAGTAAAATACAGAAAAATGAAAATAAGGATTGCTATGTCTTGCTTTCGTGAAATAAATTTCACAGGCTCAACAAAAATGAGTTATCCAGCTCTTCTACCTTCTGAAATATGAAGCTTTATACAGCTAATTTATACCATCCTTACTAGATTACAGATGAGACATAAATTAACAATTTTGAAAGGGTTGAAGAATTTTATTACATTTGCAATTTCAGGGACAAAACAAGAAATGATTGTAAAAGGATGCTGTTACGAAGTCTCCCAAACAAAGTTCCCATAATTACAGTCATTCCCATGGTCGGCGGACATTGGGCAAACTCCTGTAAAAATCTGAAAGTCACAGTGAGGCCTTCACCATGGAGCTATTTTCAATTCTCACCTCACTGCAAGTTCTAGACAGCCCCTAGTTTTGAGTGGATTTCTTTGCTAGATGCTGACCATGCTACATCTGTAAATTGAACCAGATCAACACCAGGTCTGAACCTGTGTCACTGCATGCAATTGATTGAGGTAACATGTATACTGGAGCGTAGCTGATCATTCCCTTTCACTGAAGTAAAAAAAACATTCACAAAAATTTCCTTTTACAATGAGTATTATAAGATTTCAAACTATCTTAGGAGACGCAGGTAAAAACATTGATGAAGGGTAATATCAAAAAAGTTTTATCTGGTGAAGAATTTTACAACTACTGTCATAAATGTCGGACAATATCTCTGTTAATACAAACATTTAGATAACCACAGAGCATATCAAGAGAGATGTTAGATAACTTGGAAGGACATTATGTATGAAAAGGGCAAATAATATGGGTGGATTGTATGACAATTCCAATAAACAAACTGAGGGAAAGAAGGGAAACTATGAAGTACTCAAAGGACAAGTCAGCTGAAAAGTCCATTTAAAAATAAAATACTGAATTCAGTTATCTGGGGGAAAAAAAACAGAAAAAAAAATTATGCTGTCTCTTTCTTGACCATGAAGAAGTATCTGTCTATGTTCCCTAAAATTCAAAGGTTTGACAAAGTTTTTTCCTCATATAATCACATTTGAAAATAAAAAAAAGAAGATTTGGTATGATTGCCAATGATACAACTTTCTACTAGAGACCAAATGAATACCTTTTAAATTCAATAAAATTATGAATTCAATAAACATAAACTGTATGGTTATAGATTATAAAAAAAAATTACTGTCTTCTTCTTTCCATCCATAACAATTACATATTTATATACATGTATTATCATAACAAGAAAAACTTATCATCAAAACACATACAAACAATGGATAATAGATTAGTTACTGGTTATACAAACATTGTACATTAGCAGTAATTATTTTGTAAAGACAGACAGCAAATAATAGACTTATACTTTTACCAAGTTATGCATACAATAAATTCCATATTTTTAAATTAACACATTGCATTACATAATATGAAAAACAATCATAAAACATAGTAATCTACAATACAAAAGTCTGCACTGTCACCACATTAGCTTGATAAACCTTATAATAAAACAGTCCAAGTGGAATTTAATTTAAGTGAGAAAAAGACAAAAATGAGATAATTACATATCTAGTAAAATAAACTTTGAGGTAAACTGGTTACTGAATTTGGGAAAAGCTGTCTGCAAATGAGAGTACAGGAAGACAAACAGCAGTATATTTCTGAAGATTAGGATAAAATAAAGGATTTTCTTTTAAAAGATAGTCTATGTACACATGTTTCATAGTAAAAATTAGCCATTCAAGTGGATAAAACATATTCAACTTTTTTGAAGGACCGAATCACTTGAAAGATCCAAAATGATTTGCACCTACCAAATCAGTTGTTTTGTGATATTTTGGCTTTATAGAATTAAACAGATGCATTTTATTTATCTTGACACCAAGCTACTGTAAATTCAGAAATTGATGTGTGCATTTATTATTGTGATTGCTGAAAACTGGACACAAATGCAAGATTAATTTTTGAAATTTTAGGAAATGCTGCATACAATTTATGCTATCAAAAGTTTAAATGCAAAACAAATTCTGTCCCAATCTTTGCAAAATTAACATTGTAAAATTTCTGAATTTTCAGAATATGATTGAAAGTCCCTCAGTATCTGACAACTGAACTTGACATATAAAATGGCTAATGACACAGAAATTGAACCCAGGGGTCATCTAATAGTCCCTCTGAACTACCTTCAGGCAACTAAAACAGTCTTACAAATACATCATTTAGATATAGAAGGTTCAATTTCTTGCTTAGAATAAATCAATATTACAAAGTCATCTAGATAATGATCTTTTCAATTCTTCCTTTTTTGCTTCATGATCTGCTATCTGTTGCCGAAGATCATGTAGACAATTGTATTGCTGAAATGATAAAACAATCATTAATAATTATATAAATTAAGTTTTAAATATTGAAATGCAGAACTCCTGAAAAATAAAACCACACAAGCTCATTATTATTCTAAGGAATACTAGTTTATGCTAATGCCATGGGTTAAAGTGTACCCCAAAGATATTTTTTCTACATAAATCTTCTGTTTGACTAAGTTACAACTCATATATTTCATCTGTTTTTTTGTTACAATCATTTTGAACCAAAAAGTGTCAAAAATTCAAATGACCTGATAACAATACTTATGGTTTGCAATTTGAAGGGAAATATAAATGGTAATGACACTAGTGTTTTGAAATGCTTCTGGAAAGTATCTACCTGAATGCTAAAAAGGAGGTGTTATATCTACTGATTTCTACAAATAAGCAAAACTAATAACATGCTAAATGTCTTGCCTGTCTTACTGACTATGATTGAGATTTATGTTGAACGTCTTAAAACAGGTATCATATAAACTAATCATTAACAAAGATACACGAAAATGAGGGTTAAATACACATTACAATCACTCTGTGCATCAAATATACTTAACCTGTCACTTATTGTATCTGAGAAGCAGACCTTATTATGAAAAGTTAAAGGTTTACAGATGAACCATGAAAAGTAAGTCAAGGTCAAGGTCAGACAAACCATATCAGCAAACATGTAAATCTGACACTTCTTCTTTATTCCAAATAAAGTTTACTACAAATAAATTATGAAACATAATTTTGACCATTGAACCACGAAAATTAGGTCAAGGTCAGATAAATCATGTAAGCAGACATGTACAACAAATATAATTGACCTATTACTTATAGTACAAAATGTATCTGAGATGAAAACTTAACATAAATCACTGAAACAAGAAATCAGGTCAAGGTCACATGAACCCTGTCTGATGGACATGTTTACCTTGCAATGATTCTATATACCAAATATATGTCATATTACTCATACAACTGAAAAAATTCAAAGGGTTCCACAGAACCCTGTGTCTCTCCTGTGACTGCTGCTGTCTTTGTAAAGTGAAATATTGACTGCAAAAAGAACTAAGCCCATTCATCATGCTTATCAGTAAAACAAAGAAAATAAATTAAAAAAAATCAAAATTTTTCTCTGGGTGCTCTTTGTTCACAAATTAAGAAGAAGATTCTGTCCAAGTTTTATAAAATTACATGAAAATTTTAAAAAGGTTATTGGTGCTTTTAAAACCTTAAACACCTAGACTGCATGTAAATGATAGTCAGTAACATATGGAAGATGAAAAGTTCCATGAAGGTTTGACAAAGTTATAGGTGTTTTAAAAACAAAATCTATACAGTATCTAAATGTAATTGAAATAAAAAATACTTGAATTTTTTCTCTGGAAAGTGTCTCTTGATCATTTAGAAGCTTTATAGAATTTCTATGTCTCACCTTCACAACTTTGTTACAATGAAATATCAAATTTCAAAACTTAAAGCAATTCTTGTACAAATGTTATAATTTTGAACAGTGCTTGTAAAAAGCCGTATACTAGCTGGTTCACATTATTAACCCAATTAAATTCAATACTTTATTTTATCCTATATGAAAAACTTTTTAGCAAAAAAGTAATTGAAATGTAATTATTTACTTTGACATTGTAATTGTGATGTAATTAATAATAAATTACATTTCAAAGTTAATGTAGTTGTAATCTAATTGGAAAAAAAATAAGTATGTAATTGAAAAAAAATAATTTCTTTGACATATAATTGACCCAAGGTCTGTCAAACATGATATCATAATCATATATTCTAACTTTATACAAATCATTGAAATAACTTTCACAATAATGAAATTGTTGTGCAATCCACTGAAAGAAAATAGTTGGAAGAGGGGACACCTTTGATACCTGCCAAATCAGATGTCTGACTCAAGGACATCACAGCAGTTGAAAAACACATTGAAAATATAGAGTTTTCAAACATAAAATGAACTAGAACTGTCCACTAAGTTGGACTAATACCCCTGCATCATGGAGTAATGTTTGAATATGCTAGTGACTGAAATACAGGAATCAATGAAGTTGATTATATCAGGGCTCATGCTACTGAAAGACTGGGGCATAGAGGTCGCTTTCCCGTCCATCACTTCGCTTTTCCGACTGTCAAAAGCAACATCTAGTTGCCTGGTCGTTCACAACAATCACTTTCGTCATCGGCGATTCTCCATTTTTACCAAGTTTATGAAACAACAATTTTTGTTATAAGTAAATATATCAAAGACAAAAGCAATTTATTTCTTTAGAACACAGTGAAAGCATTGACTTTACAGATCAGTCGTATGTCATTTCAACTTTTTAAGGAGTATTTTATTTCACTTCCAGTACATGTTACCAAAGAGCATACATCAAAACATTTTCATTTTTGGCAAAACAAATTTGCTTGTCAAACATTGTATATTTTTGTAGATTTTTCTCTGTCCACCACTGAAATATTTATGCAAACCACAGATCTGACACGCACCATGGATTGGATGTGAACTAACTATGAATGAAATATATTTTTCTTAAAATAATAAGTATAATAGTCACACGAATGGCTCAGCTCACAGAAGAATAATGATCGCTATGTGAAAAATACACATTCCACACGCAATTACAGACATTTGGTTAGATCCCCTTAGTAAAATGTGTATATCATGTAAACGCATTGTTTCAATTTATGGATTTAATTTGCTTAAATTTGTTAAATTTATAAATCTTTTTAATGAGAAACAATGAATGTCATCAACAGAATAAATTTCCTCACTGAATTCTTATTGATAAAAGATAATTTCTTTTCCCTTTTAATATAAAAAAAAATCTTAAATAGTCATGACAGTGCTAGATATTTAGTTGATAGTTTCTGACAAGTAGAAATATATAATTGTGTAAATTTAATAAATGACAATTTAAGACATAGACTGAGACAACTGTTACTTAATTGTATTTTCAGGTATGATTTGACCAGTATAAAAAAGAAATAAATAAATAAGATACATATGGCCCTATCTATAAAATATAAAAAAAAAACCAAACATTACAGTGATGCTAGCAAACGAGCACTTCTCCTTTAAGTTTCACCACTTCTCCCTATCAGTTTCAAAAAATAAAGTCACTTATCCCTATGATTCTGGAGTAATGTGAGCCTTGTATGTAAATTGAACTTTTTCAAATGTTTTACTTGATATTTTCTCAAATGCATGTACCCTTAAAGTACCCTTTAAAGTTTGAATGGCTGTGTATCTGGGCAAGGAAGAGTGCATCCTTCAATTGAAGTTGTCATAATAAGATCTGTTTTGTCAAAATGTATAAAAAGTTAAAAAGAGCATTTCTAAAATAGACCTCAACATATCAGAACATCCTACCCACATGTACATCTAAATTCAGTATTGAGATTTTTGGTTTTCAGCAATTCATTTTATAAACTTATTGCCTCTGTGTTAGACTGACACATGGTTACTAATAGGTCAATCTGAAAACATTATACTGACCCAGGAACAAGGTCTGAGGTTTGTAAACTTTAAATTAAATAAACTATTGACACAGAGATATGTGACGCCTTTTTATAATTTTGATAGTTTAATGCAAATATTTAATTCAAATGGCAATATCTAAACATGTAAACTATGCAAAACATTCAAAGTCAATGAACCATGACCTAAGGTGCAGGACCAAATAACCTCCATGGAAATGAGAAATGCCAATACTTATTAAACTGCATACCAAATACCATTAACTTATCATAAGTGGTTCCCTTTACACTAACCTAAACACAAACTTAAACTTGTAAACAATGTAAAAGTTTCAAAGTCAATGAACCATGATGAGGGGGTGGGGGCCTTATAATCTCCATGGAAAAGAGACTTGCAAATGCTTATACAACTACAAACTTAATATCATTGACTTAACATTAGTGGTTCCTCTTAAACTGATCTAATCACAATCTTTAACATATAAACTATTCAACTCATTCAAAATCAATAGACCAAGACTGAAGGGGCGGAGCCAAATGATCACCATGAAAATGTGATGTACCAATGCTTATGCATTTGCATACCAAATATCACTGACCTACCACTAGTGGTTCCCCTTGACCTGACCTAATCACAAACTAATACATGTTAAGTTAGCAAAAGTTTCAAAGTCAATAGACCATGACTGAGGGGTGGGGCAAATAATCTCTATGGAAATGAGATGTGCCAATGCTAGTACAACTGCATACCAAATATCACTGACCTACTACTAGTGGTTCCCCATAAACTGACCTTATCACAAACTAATAAATTGTTGACGATGCTGCCCATGACGCCGATGGAAATAACATACCTAAATGTTGCTTTTTGACTACAGTCAGGTAAAACAATAAAATGACTCTGTAGAATTAAGTGCATGAGGGTATTCTTAGGCATATAAATATTATGAAAAATATGTCTGTTGAAGGGGCTAGCTACAGTCAAATTTTTTTCTCAAACATTTAAAAAAGAAGAATATTGAAATAATATTTCAGTTAGCAGTCAAATCTGGTTCAATTTTGTCAAAATAAGCTGAATAACCTGTTGACATAGATATGTTTCATCTTTATGTATTTTTGATAGTATAATTCAAATTAAAATGTCAACACTAATTCACTTTAACATGTAAACTATGCGAAACATTCAAAGTCAATGAACAATGACTGAAGAAGCATTGCCAAATAACCTACACTTGCAAGTGAATAATTCTACCTCATTGAATCCATATTCATGTGACCTTCAATTTAACCCCTAAGCTAGAGATGGGTTGCGCATAAACTAGGCCTGTTCAGCTATTAAAAGCAAAAGAATGTCAACACTGAAAGTGAAACAAGGGTTAACCATTAAGTTGACTGATTCAATCCACAAAAACTCATTCTTATACAGGTAAAAACGATGATTAACATATTTTTTTAACCTATAATATGAAATTAAACAGACCTAGAAAAATCCAATTGCACGTGTTCAT